GGGGGGGGGGGGGGGGGGGGGAGCGAGCGAAGAGAGCAGGGGGCGGGAAAATTAAAAAAAAATTGACTTTATCAATTGAAGTGTCTACAAAATTATAGTAGTTTTTAGAACAAGATATTTCCCAAAATTCCTAAAAAAACAAATTATTTCGAACAAATGACTTATTTTTTCCCATGTTAAATTAAATGATCCATGACGCGACGTTGCCGGACACTCGCTAAACGCGCCCGGGCAGTGTAGGGTGAATTCGGCAAAGCGAAAGCCTAAATAACACGGCGGGGAATCCCCGAACAGGCGACCAGAGTCGCAGGGACGTGTTTGGTGATCAGACTAGGGTTAAAGCCTAAATAATAAAACGCGGACGTGGTCAAAGTCGCTGGGTCGCGTAGGGTGACCTGACTGGGGTTAATTCATTCTGTGGAAGGTCTTATTGAGCCAACACTAACCTTACGTCTCCCACTATACTGTGTAGACTGCGCCTCACACGAGAGGGCACACAGCGGGGAAAACACCCATTCACCTTAGAGGGTTAAATTGTAATTGTCATACAGCGATAATTCTCATTTGAAAATTGACACTCATTTCTGTATAGATTGGCAGAACACATCGAATCTTCCTTTACAATGATGTTTGGTTTTGTAGTTTTAATCAATATGATATTAATCAGTATAACGGCGCTTCAAGTAAGTATACAATAAGACCCACTCAATGCCCATTCTTATATTAAAATTATTACAGGCCATGCTGGAGATAAATGAGCTTGCTAAAATGGCCAGATTCCTGGTTTTCACTGTGGGACAAATAACGCATTTATTGTTCTTAAGCATACCAGGACAAGAGTTGTATGATCACAGTAGTCGTGTTTTCAGAACCATGTACGTTCATACAGTAGATATTAAAATTTTTCTTGGAATGTGAATTAATTAGTTCATCATATATTACACTCTCAAATTCATCGCAAAGGATGCATGGGGTATCTCCACTTTATATGCGAAATGAAAAGTTGTTTCTTAAAAAAAAGTACAGTTGGACGACTCTTTTCACAGTTCGAGAATATATAGGGGAAAAGAAATATTGATGCGTATTTTAATGAACGAAAAAATCAAAGTGTGTGGAAATTAAGAGTTGTTGAATTAAAGTGTTAAAAAAATTGAACTGTTCATATCTGCAGTGAGCTTTGTTGTCTCCCTGATGGAAATGATGTAAGTAAATTTCCTTTAACACAATAATATAGTAAAAGAAAAGTAATCCCATTGTTATCGAGTTTTCATTATCTATATACATCTGTCAGCCTCTTTTTCAGTTGGAATAAGTGGATGATCTTTAACTACATGAAGAAATGAGAATAAAAAAAAGTTATCTTTTTGTTCATAACCGTGTACGAGGAACAATTATCATTTTCCCCAAATTACACATGAAGGTGTCCCTACACGGAGAGAAATTTTTGATAAAAATTATCCTACCGTTGTATAAAAGTGTATCATGAGTCATCGTTTCCTCATTTCTATCCCAAAATTCAGTAAAAATTAATATATGATGATAAAATTTTATTGTACGTTAAAGAAATTTTATCCTGATGAAAATAAAAATTACCGTGCCGGCAGAGTAAAAATTACTGTACCGGTAGGGTGCAATTTACCAACCGTTCTAGAATTTTCGTTGTTATCTACATAAAAATTATTGGACTGGAAGGGTAAAATATATTATCCGTCAGGATAAAATTTCTCAAACGTAGAATAAAATTTGATAATCATACATTAATTTTTGCTAAATTTCGGGATAGAAATTTGGAAACGATGACTCATGATACAGTTTTATAGAACGGTAGGATAATTTTTATCAAAAATTTCTCTCCGTGTAGCGGAATCGCAAGAGCACCCGAGTCCTGGAAACTTCACATGGCAATAATTCATTGGAGATTCTGCCATAAAATATACGAATTCAGAGGCAATTGGTTGTGGCCACTCAAACAGTCCGTGATAACCGCGTCGTCATGTGGTTATCATCGAGCATAAAAGAATTCATACGTTCCATATGGCTCATAGCCCGTTGTATCTGATTTACGTTGAAGCATCCATCTCCTTACTTTTCCGTTAAAACTGAAAAGAAGAACCGAGTATCCTCAAAATGATAATTCGCAGAGGTGCTATTCTGACCGTATTCTTAATCTCATGTATTCAATGGGTGCCGAGCAACGGAGAAATGCTATTCCCCGCGGACGTAAGCAACGCAGGATCATGGAGCTCAATGTTCTTGAATTTTCTCACCAGTGGTTCTTTTCAAGAAAAAAATTCTACAACGGTCACCCAGTGTTCCACCTCAACCGGATACCGAAAAATAATAATGAAAAGGGTACGCCAAGTGATGATTGAATCCTCAAAAAAAATGAAGAACGCGTCAAAAACATCAGCTGATCATCAGACGAGGGCATTCATTCGATTTATGGAGGACACACTATCCGATAACTACCAGATTACCGATTTATTCGACGCAATACGAGTTATTAAGCAGTTATACGGAGGATTCATTTTGAAATTACTAGTACAGCCTGACGAGGGCATGTGTAATTTCACATCTGATCTGCTATATAAGGATGGATTGCTCGAGCAAATTGATAAGATGCATGCTATCGTCCTACCGACTGGAGGCCAGCCGTCGTCGGAGCTGCAGTTGATGTTCCAAAATTTCAAAGTAATTGTTACATTATCAACGATTTGATCGTAAATACGGATATTAAAGTTCTTTCTATTATCTTCCAGGACGAACGACTTGGGGTTTGTGGTAAGGGGCATTCCACATTGGGGTATCTCCATTTGATTCACAAGGAACTGTTCATAACTGAGGTGAAAGCATTCATGATGAAAACATTCGCGCTGCATTTTTCGTCTGTGTTCAGTGGACCTGAGAGGACCTGTATGTTGTTCTATAGTGAGGGGATTGAATTCATATGCAATTTGATAAAATCAAATTTTTAGGTGGATACAAAGGAGAAGTTAATGATACATTCTTGAGAGATGAACGAAAAAATTTTCTACGAGCCATCAAATTGTATACTGACGTATTCGTTCAGAAAATGAAGACTGTATCGAGGGATTTCCGTTCTTGTGATAGAGACAATGATGAAATAAATTCTAGATGTAAGATGTATATATTCCCAATAATTTCTGCAATACTTCAACTTCTTTCCCACTCAATTCTAGCCCCTTCGTCGAGTATTTTGTACGGAGACTGGACTGTATTGAGAACAAATTTTTTTATTGTAATTCGTCTAATTTTTCAAGAGGGAAAGAGTCTTCCCATACGGAAAAATATATATTCTAAAAATTACATATTTTATATATGGAATTGGCCTAATTTATACATAACAGTCATATAAAATATAAATTTACATAAGTTTCATGGATATTTTATACAAATCTCATATATATTCGAAGAATATATTAAATTGGCCTATATTATATATTCTTTATACATTTTTCCACGGGGACTACACTGAGAAAAAAGCAAATTGTCCTTGTCCTGAAGACGAGGACAATTTGTTAATGATAAGTTGGTGACTTCTCAAACCAAGTCTAGTTAAATTAATTTATTCAACAATTGTTTATCCGCTGAAATTATTCTGTCTTTTAAATTATCCAGGGAGTGGGACCACGACGTTATAGCGCGATACGAACGGACGAAGGTGAAATCCAGTGTGCTAGCAATAGAACGATACAACTGTAATAAATATCCCCATATTACTGAATTACTCTAATTTTTAGTTCTCCAACTAATATTCATAATTTTTCAGTGACAAGCCATGTTTTTGTAAATGTCAGGACAATACTGTTCATTCTAAAACGATTCATCTGATCAACTTACAACCAGTAGAGTCTGATGTGGAGAATAATATGTACGTTGAGATTTTCACGGTTGCAAGATATTTCATAAATAATTATGGATCCTGTGATTTCCAATTTTCCTCAGGGTTATAACGGGCATTAAATTCGTAGTGAAACACGGGATGCTGCAGTTTCAAATTCAGCAAGGACGTGTAGATACGTATTGGGAAGTTGATAATGTTATGTGGAAACCCGTCAATGATATCACGGAAGAGATACATGCAGCTAGATTAGGAACAATGCTCCGCGGGAAAACTCCTAAAGTCAAAGAGAATGAGGATTTTCTGGTTATTACGATAGAGGAGAATAACGGAATTAATTTCGACGACCTACAGGCTCCTTATGGATATGTGCTGACTGGTAAGTAATACTGCATTTGCTAGTTCCCGCTGTACGAAATTGTGCTCCAATGGAAATTCAGCTGATCTTGCCCGATATTGGATCAGATACAAATGCGATCCTGGTGAGGATTTCTTGATTAGACGTACACTGAGAAAAAAAAATTCCAATTTCTGAAACATATTCTCTTGAGAGTAATTTCTCTTCAATTGTTTCATTATCCCAGACATCTCAACTCACGTGGCCCGAGAAAGGTCTCATGCTCTAAAATATTCTTGTACTTGTATGATTTTGTCGCACGTGAACTCACCAGGGATGTGAAAAAATGACATGACACATCAGTGACGGTCACGTGACATAAATCACTTAATTTTTCTTCAATATTCAAGCGATTCCCGATTTTCAGGCCCATGCGGCACTGAAAAACCTTGAAAATTTTGAAAATTCAGGCAACAACTTTTCGGAATTTTCAATCTATTAAAAATTGAATTGTATGTGATGTTCAATTTTCACGATGAGTTTGCAAATGCAAAATTTCATTAAAAAAACAATGATTATGTAACATGAAAAACCCAATTTTCTCGAATTTTCAAGATGAATGAGAAATTTGGTGAACGCTTTCAACGGAAATTGAATTCAACCTCACAACGTCGAAAATTCAGATGACGCTGTGACTGAAATGTCAAGAAATTTCTAACAGTGTATGTCGATTTTTTTCTCAGTGAGGACAGTACCAGGATAGTGCCATGTTTTTCCACCTTAAAATAAGAACATGTTCTTATTTTAAGGCCTGAATTTAATTACCGCGGTGCAGTAAACTAGAATTTATTTTCCCCGTGTTTCTTCACTTGCAGGAGTTAGATTTAAGCTATCCGATAACACGAAAGAAGTATCGCCCAAGAGAGTGGAAATTTCCTTGATCGCAACAGAATACAATCCAGACACTGGAAAATTGTGTACTACCTGTGACAAGCAGATCATTACATCTAGCGTTACGCATGAGTATGTAATGATTATTTTTCCCAATCGGATTTCGACCAATCAGAGCGCAGTATTTGAGGCTATCCGACTAGCTGAGCTTTTGACTGTTTCGCAGTAGTTCTTTATTTTTTTACCTGAATATTTCGCAATAGCTCTTCATTTTTTCGGCTCATTGCAGATAGAATCTTATATTTGACAGCCTATGGAAATCGGGTTATTCTATTAACATAATTTGTTCAAATCTTCCCCAATTCACCTCCTGATGTGGTCCACTGCACTCTGCTTGGCCAAAATCCGATTGGGAAAAATAATCCGACAAATACTCCTCGAGATTCAAAATTAATCGGGTATTTCCCTCAAGCTCCCCTGCAAACAAACCATCGTGCCAAGTTTTGCAGAAAAATGGGATTTTTTAACCTGCAAAACTTAACATCCTCATTTGTTTGCAACGAAGCTCTCGGGAAATACCGGATAATTTTGAAGCTCTTGGGGTATTACTACTGACTATTTTTCAATATTCAGGATATTGGATGCTGAATAAACATATTTTTCCAGCAAAAAATACCTGATGAGGCAGTGTCCGATTCAAGCTCAGTTTCCAACAGTCCCTGTTTCCGGGGAAGGTCAGTATGTTGTTATTGACACATCATCTGTTGTTGGAGACAAAGCTCAACACACACTGCCCTTCTTCGATGCACTACCCCTTGAAACTCAGCCATCGTCTGCAGTGGCGGGATTGCGGTTGTTTCATAAGACGGCAGGGAATTTCCCTGGATTGGTTTCATTGAAATTCTTCATCCCTGATTATACCCAGCATATGGAAAATATTATGTATCACTGATAGAACGGATTAGTTATTGTTAACGAATAGATTTTGGTTCGAGGGTAGGGCCTATTCGCTCTCACCAAATGTTCATTCGTTAATAGTTAACGAATCTCGTTTGGAATAAATGAATCATTCTATCAGTGTACAACAGATCAGAGTCTGGCAATTTTTTGAAAAGCACATGTTATTAAGAAAAATCGATGTTTTTTCTCATTATACAAAAAAAAACTTTTTTTCAAGTTTTATCGTTTTTTTAAATTTTCATCCTTTAATTAAAAAATCAGTGTAACGTTTTTTGAAGCCAATCTATTCGGCGTATTGTATCATTGGATTTTTCATGAATGATGATAGTATACATTCAAGATATTACGATGATACTTTATTATATTATATTCTATTAATAATGGTTGTAGCCGATAGACTAATTTAAAAAAACAATAGACGATTGGACTTGTCCATTACGTACATACTGTAGGAAATAATTAATTCTGATGGCGGATAAATTATTATTTTTTTCATTCTCAATCAATCAAAATTATTATTCGATAAAAAAATTAAAAATTTTGTCAACTTGGACAGCAACATCGACGTTTGGGCATGAAGATCAGCGGGCAGATCAACTTAATGATCACAAGAAAATTATATGTATTACAATACGCCGGTACGCGGAGAGAAAATTTAAGCATAAATTAGTGTGCTATTTACCAATTCATGGGATCAAACCATAGTCAAAGAAATTCGGATCTGGCACTCGAATTTCTAAGGGAATCCCACGGAAAGTCGCTCTTGACGGAACGGAATGGAAACGGAACGGAAGGGAATCCCACGGACAAGCAGATCTCGTAAAATTAGAGTGCTACATTCGAATTTTTTTAGTGAATTCGATTACGCCTGTTTAGTCCCAGGGGTAATGGATACCACACTAATTTTTTAAGAGACTCGCAGCGGATTGTTATGTATTTTTCTCTCCGCGTAGAGCATTCTTAAAACTGAAATCATTGCGAAGTAAAGACCTAAGTATTCTACATTGATAGTTCAACCAGGTCTACACTGAGAAAAAACATTATCTTTTTAGAAATAAGATTAAAAATTTTTCTTGCTATCTTGTTAATGTTATCTCTCTTCAATGTTCTGCATGAAAATTCATCGACTCCAAGTGAAATATACAATATCAGACTCAAAATAAAACATTGTCTTTTCATTTAATCTTCTCACCGCATCCCGATAAATCACAAAGAGTGACGAAACGATTTTATAACACCTGCGCAATAACTTTGCCATCCTACTATTATCCATAGGACTGCTCTTCCATGCCTATGGGTGACCTGATCAGGCTGACCTGACCCCCACTTGGCCAGCCACCTGTACGCGACCCAACCTTTTTAACCCTCGATCACTCGATCAATGAGCACGACGCCACCCATTTTCGTTTTTTTTATATTTTAGTGTTTCTCGACGTTTGAAAAATAGGAAAAAAATTCTAATTCAACCCTTTTATTAGGCCTTGACGTTGTCCGTTTGTTTCTCGGGAAATTCATTTAGCTAAAAAAAAGGGACGTCAGACAGAAAATTGGCGCCGCGCCGCCCGGTGAGAGTGAGTTCTTGTTGACCGCTTGGGCGGCAGTGTTGCTACATTCACTGCCACACTTGAAACGTGCGCGTAGCGATAAGCGCCAACGTGGCAACAGCGCGCTCGGTTTAACCCAGCGACGGATGAAGGCTAGTGGCCGAACGCAAATGATCGAATTTAACTTTGTGACCCCAGCGAAATTACCGTTTGGAAATGAGAGGTTCTGCTGTGCCAATAGCTAAATTTTTCTGATTGTAATTAATCGCTGTAGATACAGATAGAAATATAAACACGGATACAGCCATCTGTGTTAATAGTTATCAGTTTGTCAGTTATAAGTCCATTCACAGGCGAATCTGCTGAAACGTTTCATTAAAAACCAAAATCCCTTTTGCCTAGTGTTACCGAAATAGAGGAACAATGGTCATGACCATTGTTATCACTATTTTAAATGAAGTGAACATGCAACCTGCAGATGGTCTTAGGATGAAACTATTTCTACACATTCCTAGAACAATAATTGTCAATTTTCTAAAGAATATTCCTTCAAACAATTTTTTTCTGCTAGTTACGACAGCCACTGGTTTGAAATGTCAACACAACACCAAAAGATAGTTCACATCATGCTAATGCGAAGTATGAAGCCTTCATTGATGACAGCCGGCAAGTTCTATCACATGAATGTAGAAAATTTCAAAAACGTAAAATTTCTTGGATTCTCCAGTATTGAGCTTTCTATCGGAAATCATTCTCTGATCTTTTCTTTCAGATATTACAAGCGTCAATGTCGTACTTCACGGTATTCCTATCAGCCCGATGACCACCAGTTCATCAAAGTCAACGATCCCGCAAGAATGTTACAGATTTTAATTATTTTCTTGTATTCTATCTCATCACTCCAGAAACGGCATGTTTCACTTGATTGTTTATTAGTTAGAAAATAATTACCTTCTACATTGGAAATTGCCTCAAGTCATCAGATCATTGTGACTACCGCGGTAACGATGATTCATTTAGTATTCGTAGAATTCTGGAAGCACTTAGCAGCTCGTACTTTCAACAACTAGTTTCGCTCACATTGCTGCTGAAACGAAAGGGGAAAAACTGAATCATTATCGATCGAATGCAACGCCATCATTATTGAGAGACCGGTCATTACTCATGATGGACAAATGTTGATGTAAAGGTGCTCATTTGTACGAACTCGAAGATAATGCATTCGACTTGTTTTTACTCGCACGCAATGTCGAGAAGGAGTGGAGGTGGCGCGTTGACGAGATCCCTTGCACTCTGGTGGACGAAGAGGTGATCAAGACACATGGATGTTTTCACTAATGGTTGTTACAAGCAAAACAGAATTCTCATGATCACGGTGGGAATATGGCCCGATTCTCCGTTGATAGTGAAACTGTTTGCGCGCAGTGTAATTTTGACAATATTGTGTAGTTTATTGCCGCCGCAGGTATCATTCATTATCATTATCTTCTTCATATGCACACTGAAAGGGAAAAAATATTTCTGCAAAACGAATTTGTTGGAGGCAAGAATTGAATTAACATTCAGTGTGGACATCTTGGGCATTTGCATGGAGAAAATTATTTGGTGAAATTTAACAACTAATTAATTAAAATTCAGAAAAGATTTTTCAACTTCATTCGACGACGATTCCCCAACTTATTCTAACTTTCAATCTAAACGGGAATATTTAGTATCAAATTACGCTAACTTTCGACTACTGGAGAACTGTATGTATTAAAATTTTCCTGATTTCTAGTACTTTTCATGGAATATTTGTACGGACATTTTCATTGTTCATGGATTTTCCCATAAAATTTCGAGCTCTTAAAAAATTCCAATAAGTTCACGGGAAATTTCAGCTAAAAATTTTTAGCTATGGTAATCTATAAAAAGCAATCAGCTTGAACCTCTAATTCAATAAATTCAATCAATTTTTCCTGCAAGGTAGACGGTGAGAGCATATCCACATTTGGAAACAATCTCGCAAGCATTTATTTCTTAGGAGTCGATCAATGTCTTCCCTAGAAGATATTTTCGCGATAATCTACAATTTCTTGTTAAATTTGACCCATCAAATAAATCGACGAACGTTTATTGAAAATTTAGTAAATAGTTGTCGAATGAAATTGAAATTTTTTTTTTCTGAATTTTAATTAATTATTTGGTTTCACCAAATAATTTTCTCCGTGTGGGCGTCTCAAGTACATGTGTTTTCCATAAATATTTTTTTTCTCGCTACACCGTCTAAGATTCCGTTGTCGATTGTAGAGAAATGATTTTTGATGGAAAATTACTGAAAGAAATCGATGAATTTTCTACTCAAAAGTTTTCTCCTCGTACGGTAAAAAGAATTAGAAGCATTTATGAAATTTTCATCACTTACCAAATATGACAATTCCATTGGGATTTTCAGTATGCGTTCTTGAATCATCCCGACAGACACTTGAACGACTTAATATCAGTCCTGATAATTCAACTGGTTATTCTGACTGTTGTCTTGAAGATATGTTACATTGGATTTAATATGAAAATGGTTTGTAGCTGGCAGAGAGAATGACTTACAGACAAGAAAATACACAGCCCTCGTCAGAAACATATCATGACAAAGAGAATTGAGGATATTATATTTTTCAATTCCGGATACCCAAATGGCGCAAATACGTATAAGTAATAATTCCGTTCGACTTTTAGGTTCAAAATGGGATGGTGCGAATGCAAGAAGATTGGGTTATTCTCAAAGAAACGCCCGCGATTGATCAAATCCGCCGTTATGCTAAGAGAGGGTATTTAATTTCCAGGATATACATAAGTATGCATTTTGAATTCTCTCAATTAAGGTGTTTTATGTGAAAAGTCAAAATAATGGAAAAATTGGAAAATTCAGGGAAGAAGTATCTGAATATGCTGCATCACAGGGAATTTTTCTAAAATTTTCCCAGATCTTGCGTTCGAGAAAAAAAATAATGAATTGTCAACGTTTTTGTATCCTCTTCAGCTATAAGTCCGAGATGATCGCACTCTAAATTTGAAGATTTTTTCTCACACCACTAAAAATAACGAAAAATGCGTGAAAGACTAGTGCGCGAGATAGTGAATCTTGATTTCACTTTCATACGATTTTTAACCCTGTTCTAGATCTTTTGACCAAGATACACTGAAAAATAAAGCCCCAAATCGTCGATTTCTGCGGTTTTTCGCTCACTCCACCATGCGATGTGGCAATGCCGCTCTCGACCCCATTGGCGCGAAATTTAAACGTCGGTACGAATCTTAGTTATTCGGTGTAAATTTTACGGAGAATATTGATGGCATAAAAAAATAACGAATTGTCGTTTACTATTTACTCGTGTTTTTACTCGTGTGCCCATCGCCCTCATCGTTGTCATCGGCCTTTCTCCTACACTTTCCCGTCTCCGATTGTTGCATACGTAAATTATACACTGCGTCCTTACTAATTTACCGTTCCAACGTTTAGTATTTTTAAATAGAGACAAACGATCCATTTTTTATTTGCTTTCATTACTGTCAATGAATTTAATATGGATTTAACGATCCATTCTCATGGATCTTCGTGCGACATTGCCACTTTCTGCATCCATTATTATACAATTCCGATAATTATAAAGAAAGTTTTGAAAAATAATGCAACACGCGTAACTGATTGCAAAAAAATCAATAAATTCACGAAAAAAAAACGATGCTTAAGACGTCACTATTATAATGGAAAACTTTATTTCAAGATTTGGATTTTTCGTGTTCAACGATTGAATCAGGGCTCGATGACAATAGAACTCCCTTTCCGTTTCACCCCCTTGGATATCTCCACACGAAACACCTTAATTTCTCATGGAATTTTTTTTGTCTCGCCTGTAATACTGGGCATGCGCTAAGTGCGGTCTCAAGCAAGATTTTATTATAACCAATCTCCATGTCAAATGTGGAAAATCTGAACTTGCAGTTTTCTTCTTCTGCGCAACGACGCAAGTGTTTTTCGTCATGCCATTGAAGCCAATGATCCTTGACGCTATTTGGCCTTCAAATGAATCCAGACCTAGAACCTACGCATTCGATGCTGACTACTCGATTTTCAGTATCTATGAGAATGATTACTATTGGGCTCTATTGCATACTCTCATAATCGGGCTGACACTGGTAGAAGGAATAGTCGCAATCGATACATTTATTTTGATCATCGTGGAACATTGTTGCGGATTATTCGACGCTGTGGGGTGAGTGATTCCATTTTGGAAAAGAGAGTAAAGGGAATTTTAACCGAATTATTCCAACCGCATGAATTTTCAGCTACATATTACAAGGTCTGCGCAAGGAGTCTTGTTCGTTACGCCGAAATAAGATCATTCGGGACGCCATTTTCGTACACAATCGCGCTTTGTCGTAAGTGTGGATGGGAAGAATCGGAAATGTTCGAAGAATATATTCAACACATCAGACACTTTTGAATCTTCGCAAGTCTCAATGACATCGTTGAGAAAGAATGTTTTTGCCGAGTAAATATTTTTATTAAAAAAATCCAGGTAGTTTTCTACGTATTGCAGTTACACTGAACTTCATCAGCAATAGATTCTAAATTATTCCGAGGGGCTACCCACTCCATAATTGACACCATCATTTCAAAATGAAGCCGATTTCGGGTGATTTTAGCGATGATTTCAGTGAATTCGGAAAACATGATTTCGGTGTTTTCGAGCGTCACGGGAGAAGATTTCATGATTTCGAATGATTTCGTTAATTCGAAATCAGTGATTTCAGAAACATAAAGTTAATAAGTAATGGAGGTGGGGCAAAACGGGTTGTTACAAATTATGAAAATAAAAACTGGCAATAATAACTAGCAATAATAACGAATTCGTTTGATTCCACTCCGGCAATCTTCAGCTAATGACGATAAAAACCGGTTCATTTTACAGTGAAACTTCCATAACTGCACGCCTCCCGGGGTTTGGATTCTGGGAATTTGCACTTACGGAGGGACCCTTCTTCGCCAGCGAAAGAGCGAGAGCGCTGAGTCAGAAAGAGATGCGTGTAGAGGCAATGGTGAGGGAAAGAGCCACAGGGCGGCCTATTGCGCACAGTTATCGCGCATTGAAGAAAGAACGAAAGAGGGTAGAGAGAGAACGTTCATAAAGGGGAATTGTAGTGGTGGGGGAACGATTCCCCGCGTGCGATGACACAGTGTGCACTTACGAAAGTCAGCAGTTATGGAAGTTTCACTGTACCAGTTTACTGTGGCAGTGAGTACGACATTTAATTATCACGAGGTCGAACGCGCGCTACAGCGTCCTGTAATTGTAACAATCATAATCGAAAATCTCAAAATTAAATTAATCATGAATTAAGTTTGCCGCCTCAGACGGCTGGAACCAATGAGGAATAAGCGTGACAGACTTGCGAGATATCGATAGTTATCGACTTTAAGTATATGGTCTTTTTAGAATAGGATCGTTGGCAGGCGTATCAATTTCAAAATCACGAATTACTTGCAAGGTTCGCACTACGCCAGTGCGCCACTGATTTCGGTGATTTCATTGATTTCAGACGATTTCACATGATTTAGGAAATGATTTCGGAGAGCTGAAATCACTTGATTTCAGTGATTTCGGTGATTTCACGTGATTTCGGAATGATTTCAGGCCAGAGTGGCGCCATGATTTCGCGAGTGAGTAGCCTCTCGATTTATTCCAAATTACTTCACTCGACAAATTCAAAATATGGAAATATATCTGCATTACCGAGGAATAACCGACCTGGAGGAGGGTATTATTGAATAAGTTACTTATTCCTTTCTCAAGAGAAAATTCACTCGGCAAAAATGATCGTTTTTCTCAAAACAGAAGGAGAAATTGAAAAAAAAAATCGTATACGTACAGATTAGCAGACCTAATCGAGTCATCGTTTACAATGATGTTCGCTTTCGTAGTTTTGATTAACATGATTTTGATCAGTATGACTGCCTTTGAGGTAAATACCGCAAGTTCCTGGAACTAGGGGATTAAAGTCAATGATACATGTGAGCCATGAATGTTGCAGACAGTGCTGAAAGTCGATGACCCTGGTGAGCTGGTCAGATTTGTGTTATTCATTATTGGACAGATAGCGCATTTGTTCTGCACGAGTTTACCTGGACAAGAGTTACTGGATCACAGCAGTCGAGTTTTCACAGATATGTATGTACCACTTCTGCATTCATTACTTACATAATATAGTTTATGACTTCGGCGGATCATCAGGAATTCTGGTGAGCACACGCCATGGATGGACGTGGACAATTTTGCTGCTTGCGTCTCTATTTGGGCCATTCAAATATTATGTCATCCGTTTTTTCCGACCCCACACCCTCCGCATATTGCATCGGAAAATCTACGATCCCCCCTCGCCTGTCGTGGCGAATTATTTTATGAAGTTTCACATCACAACTTGAGCAACTTTCTCCCCTCCTTTCATCTCAAAACGTTCTAATCTATACGCATGAAAAAAATTCAATAAAAAACCTAGCGAATTCGGTAGAAAACTATTGAAATTCTATGTGAATTCTATCGGACTTCTATTGGAATTCTATTGAAAAATTCGACTTGTTTTTTGCGCTGATTCTACTGCATATTTGATGAGAAAACGTCAATATACTTTGAATTTCTGTTCAAATTTTTCTCTTGAGATTTTTTATATTAGAATCGCTGGATTTTGTTTCATTTTGCATTACAGAATCCGAATGGAAAAAACTTGAAAAATTGATGCCTGAGCATTCTTATAGAAAAAATCTCAAGAGAAAAATTTGAACGAAAATTCGAAATCTCTTGAATTTTCATATCGAACATCCAATAGAATCAGCGAAAAAAACAAATAGAATTTTTCAATAGAATTTCAATGCAAATCCTACGGAAACCTTCATAGAATTCCTATGAAATTCCAATAGAATTTCCTAGCGAATTCGCTAGATTATCTATTGAATTTTTTCATACGTGTGCGGACCCCTCCGCCCTAATCGTATGACATAACATTTTCATGTCCTCTATTCTACTCTTTGAAGCATCTGCAATATAGAATTGGCAGCTTGCTCCTCATGACGGATGCGAGATGACATTAGATTTTGGAATCCGTTAGAGTGGCGATTATAGCGTTTGGCCGAAAAAAAGTCTGATGATTGGCTGATTTGAATCACAATATCGTGTCACATCTGGTGATCATTCATATCAGACTTTGTTTGTATCATATTTTCGATTGAATTTGAAGGTCATGTGATAAGTTGTTCACAATTTTGTCATGTTCGGCGGTCTTACAAGATGTCCGGTAATTTCTTTTGCTTCCCTCTCCCGCTCCAATGATCGAGCGTCAATGTCGAATGAACAAATTCAACTCATTTTCCACTGGGGGTAAAATACTATTGTTGACATACCGGATAAGGAGCAAAGTACGAACTTCTGACGCAGATGTTTCAAAAAATTCCGATCTTACTCTTTAGCAATCTTCTTAATAACAAAAATAGTCCATCAGTTATAACAGCAACTGGTCCGAAATAGCAGATAAGGAACAGAAACTGTTGCTATTCATGTTAATGAGGAGTATGAAGCCTTCGTACATGACTGCTGGAAAGTTTTACACACTGCACATTGAAAACTTCAAAAATGTACGTCTTCAAGCTGATTATTCATCAATGACATGTAGCTTTGATCCATATACCTCTTATTTTTCTACAGGTATTGAGAACATCAATGTCATACTTTACAGTATTCCTGTCGATTCGATGATGAATCAAAATCAATTAAATGGATTACGTTGAGATGTAACAGCTTCAAATTTTCCAATATTGATCACCAATAATCCCATCTTCCCAATCGAGGAAGAATTATTAAAAAGACTGCTACTTTCTCAAATCAAGGAAAAATTATTTCCACGTCTGAAGTTGAGCCTCACGATGATGCCGTTGTCGAACAAGCAAAATATTATTTTCGGACCCACGAGATGAGTTATGTCAAAATGAAGGTGTCGTATTAAGCAAATTGATACATGACAGAGTCGAGATATTTTGTGACTCTGACTTATATGGGCCTAGGCGTCCGCACAAAAACTGGACACTTTTTCGCTACCAGTTCTCGTAATCTTTGTCTTTGGTTAATAATAAAGTCCAACCGACCTAATGTTCGTTGAAAGTTAATATATTTTTTCCCCTTTCAAAAGGCCAATGCAACGTTTTTTCAAGCCTGTATTCCCCCTCCCTGGCTTTTAAGCTTTGTACAGTGCATCGGAGTCCTACCATCGTAAAAAGGAGAAAGGAAATCGGTCTCGAAATATCTCGAAAATCTCGAATAAGCGTAAGCGTAAGACGTGCGCAACACGCGCGGCCGATGTTAGAAAAGAGAAAAACAGAAGTTTCGATAAAATGAAGAATTTTGAAAGTTCATCGTCTTCGTTTTCTTCAGTCACGGAGAGACATTTTCTAGAAAAATTCTAGTACAAGTACTGGAAAAATTCTAGTGCTGTTAAGGTAAAATTTATTGGTATTTCTGGTAAAATTTGTGGGGATTTCCGTGAAATTTTCACAGAAATACGGGGAAAAATTCACGTTTTCCCCAATAAAATTTCTAGTGTCGGCACTGGAATTTTTTCCAGGCCATCACTTTGCGTCTCTTTTCCCGCGCCAGCACTTGAATTTTTCTAAAAAATTTCTCTCCGTGTTGAAAAAGAACGATTTCCAGTGCAACGAGCATCGATTCTTCATATTACAAACCCGTGTCTATCCAAGTATTACGACCGTTGTTGATGGACATAGAGAGATCGCGTGTTGTCTACTTCGTATGAAAAGTACAAAAAAGCTAGACATAGCCAGCCGCAGGCTCCGGGTGCTGACACTTGATGGCACTAGTTCGGTCTAGCGATGCATTTACATGTCATTTCGAAAAAACACTTATAGATCGCTTTAATACTTTTTCACGAAATTTTCTGAAGTGAGAAAAGCAATAAAGACGTAGCGCGTTGCATTATATATGATGCGAAAGTGAGACCTATGCAGGAAGTTCACCTTTCTGTAGTCTGCGAACCGCCGTGCAGTCAAGACGCTCCGACAGCAAGAGGGATAACATTTGAAAGTTAGCACTTCCAGATGAAAAAAGTGGATGTTTTTACAAATGGATATTACAGAACCAACAGAATTCTTATGACTTTGATTGGAATATGGCCCGAACTGTCGATATCAGAGAAAATTTGCATACGGATTACTATGGTGGTGTTGCTATTCTCCACAATAATACCTCAGGTATCACATTATTCTTTTTAAGCGGAGACTACTATGAATTTCAAAAGTCACGGGCGATTGGACTGAGATTTGTAATACATTGAAGATCGTTTATTTGTCTAAAAACGAATAATTAGTGCAAAAAAACTATTGTTTATTGTTCGAAAGAATGAAATTATTTCGATCGGTTATTCATATTGTGCCTCTGATTTTTTTAATTTGTGCGTTGATGATTATTTAATTATTCTCCTCATTTACAGGTTCGGAAAAACGAAAGATGACATATAGCATCCTGCTTTCCGTTTAAGGGGAGACTACTGTGAGTTTTAAAAGTCGTGGGTTATTGGAGGGAGACTTTTCATATGTTGAAAACAAATAATTAGTGCAAAAAATTTTTTTTTATTGTTCGTTTGCCCGAAAACGCTTAAAATGCCAAAAACAGGGCCTCCAATTTTTGAGCTACGCGTGATTTTTTTTTTCAAAATTTTCGGAAAAATATGTGGAATAACAATTACGAGCTAGTTTTTTTTAATTCACCTCTTACATGGCTAAATTTGCTTTTTTGTATTTTTTTACACAAATAGTGAATTTTTTTATATGAAAAAAAAAACGAAATCAGCTGTGTAGGAGTCGAATTCCGAAAAACTGGCTCGTAATTGTTGTTCCACACATTTTTCCGAAAATTTTGAAAAAAAAAATCTTTTGTAACTCAAAAACTGGAGGCCCTGGACTGATTTTAGCATTTTAAGCGTTTTCGGGCAAAGGAATAATAAAAAAATTTTTTTTCCACTAATTATTCGTTTTCAGATCTATATAATCGATCTTCAACGTATGAAGTCTCACTCCAATAACCCACGACTTTTAAAACTCACCGTAGTCTCCCCTTAAAATTTATACCTTAAAACATCTTAAGGTTTGACCGAGTAAATAGCCCGGGGATAATATGGAAATGTTTATTGTTCGTTTCCCCCACACGTTTAAAATATCGAAAATAATCCAGGGCCTCCAATTTGTGAGCTACAGAGGTTTCTCTTGTTTCAAAATTTTTGTAAAAATGTGTGCAATAATAATTATTAATTAATTTTTTGAAATTTAACTCCTACGCAGCTAATTTCGTTTTCTTTAAAATAAAAATTCGCGCCATTCATGTAACATAGGTAGAAAAATTATCTTGAAAAAATTAAAAACATATTCTTAATTCTTTCAGAAACATTTTTCAAGCTATTTCACATGAAAAGTGCAATTTTTTATTACAAAAATAACTAAATTAGCTGTGTAGGATTTGAATTTCAAAAAACCAATTCGTAATTGCTATTGCACATATTTTTTGCCGTAATTATTTATTTTTAGATATTTATAATCGATTTTCTAGTCTCCCCTTAATATTTTGGATGATGAAAGGTTTTTGCTTTTTCAGTACGTGTTTCTATTCAGGAAGTGTGATAATTTGGACGATATGATATTTGGAATAATATCACAAATATCAGTATTAGTAGGATTTGCCAAATATTATTTTGTGGCAGCGAATTTGGAGCGGGTTTGTACTTTCATTTTGAGAGTTAGATTGTGAGTGAATTAAAATTCATCAAAATTTATTTGACTGTTATAGGTTGGGCTGGTTCTTAAGCAAATCAGGGAAGATTGGCATATTCTCGAGGATTCCCCAGCGATTACAACTATCCACACTTATGCGGCAAAAGGAACTTTTGGAACAAAATTTTATATGCGTAGGTGTTGGTAATTTTTATGAGCCAGGGGGGGATTCCGCAATCAAAAAGTGAACGATGTCATGAGCAATATGTGGGCACTCCAATCATACACTGAGAGAAAAACAAACAAGTCTTGTTTGGGCCAACAAAATCGCTAGTTGAAAATTGCCAAAAAAGAATTGGTTTCGTTCAAATTTGAAAGTCTCAAACATGAATAATCGTTCTGCTTTTGACACCAACGAAATATTTGGCTCAAGAGGTGGATAATTCACACCAGACGGTGCCGTTTCAGGATGAAAATATTTCATATAGAAAAAAATTTATCAACAAATATTTTATTCCTAAGTTACAAGATTACTATCATGTCATTATTATTGTCTCATTTAAGGGTTCATTTGTTGTCTGTGATTATTAGACAGCCGAAACGAAAAACTACTGTCCCTTGTTTCGCATAAAACAAAGATTTTTCGGGAGCAAAATACGTCTGGGAGTATCGAATAACGAAGGAGTAGTGCTGGAAATGATATTTCTTGCGTGCACAGAGAATGCAATTTTTTTCAACTACTAAATCTATTTTTGCGACAAAAATTTTTCATTCCGGCGCACTCTCTGCACTGATAGAATGATTCATTAATTCCAAACGAGATTCGTTAACTATTAACGAATGGTCGAGTTGAATATGACCAAATGAATATTCGTTAATAGTTAACGAATGGTTCACTTGAATGGCGAAAGTCAAATCAAACAAGGCTCCTCAAATATACATTCGTTAACTATTAACGAATGAACATTTGGTGGGACCGAATAGACCCTAACTTCCAACCAAAATCCATTCGTTAACGATCCCTAATCCGTTCTATCAGTGTGCATGTTTGGCACAAAAAAAATCCTTTTTTGATAATTTTCAAAAAACTATTTTCTTGGCACAAGTAAGACTTGTTTGAGAACTTGTCGTTTTTCTCTCAGTGTTGTCACATACGGAACACGATACACGGAAAAAAATGTCCATAAAAAAATAGTGCGTAGAGACCTCAACGATGGAAAATTTCAACAACTGCATTTTTTCAGTTATCATCTTTTCTGCGGCCTCATTCTTTTCCATTGCTCCGTTGAAGCAAGTGATTTTGGATAAACTATCACCTCTTAACGAATCGAGGCCTAAAATTTTCATGCTAGACGTGGACTATTCCTTATATGGGATTGACGCGAATGAGCTATATTATCCAACTCTAATGCACTCCTATTTTACTAGCATGATCATAATGAATATGATAGTGTCTCGGTCGACACGTTTATTTTGATAATTGTTGAACATTGTTGTGGATTATTTGAATGCGTAGGGTAAATTTTCAGAGAATACAGGCAAAAACAGGACAATCCATTTTGACTTTATGTGACAGTTTGATTACGAAATTTCAGGATTCTGTTGAAAGAAACGGAACTACATGATTCTTCGGATGGTCAATGTCAAATAATTGGCCATGCCGTAGTCATACATCACCGAGCTATTTCGTAAGTATTTCAGATCTGAACCTTAAAATCAACCTACACATCTAGTAATTTTCTGCTCATATTCAGAACTCATCATTTTACAGATTGGCAGAATTTATTGAATCTTCTTTCACTATGATGTATGCTTTTGTCGTCTTAGGTTGCATGATATTAATCAGCATCACAGGACTTGAAGTATAACAATTATCAATGACTTGAATTGATTTCTGCTTGGTTTGAAATTTCTAATATCACTGAAATAACGAAAATTAATAGAAAAACCTAGCGAACTTGTTGAACAATTCTATTAGATTTA